ACACAAACACGCACACACACAAACACGCACACACACAAACACGCACACACACAAACACGCACACACACAAACACGCACACACACATACACACACCCAACCTGCAAGTGATCTCGCCCTGAATGAGCTTGTGCCGCTTCCAGGAGTTGCCCTGCGCCGCACACAAGGCATAGTACGGCACCGTACCGTACGGGATTACATCACATGCCACACCGCAGAGAATTCAGGTAGAAATCAGGGCAAGAGAGAGAGAGAGAGGGGCCGGGAAGTAGAGGGAAAAGGGCTGACGGCCAAACGGCGTTCAGGAGGGCTCATGGAGGTGGATAGGGGGCCAGGCAGAAGCGGAGAAAGGAAATTGGACGGCTCACAGACAGACAGACAGACAGACAGACAGAGGGGCAAAAAACGCCAAACTGCTAATTTTAAACGGTGCGCGAAGCAGCACAGCACAGCACAGCACAATCAGACTACCCTTAAAGAATAAATGATAGCGGAGGAAAACTGCAACACTGCACGCCGGTAAAACGTAAATGTTCAACGTTAAGAGGAGCAAAGCATGGTATTTCCACAACCAACCAACCAACAAACCAAGCAGCAGCAGAAATCTCACCCCGCTTCTAGTTGTTCCGCATTCGTAGCACCGTCGTACTGCCGTACCCACGGCAGCAGTTGACGTGCAACTACCGTCACCGTCGCCGCCGCCGCCAGCGCCCGCCAAGCCTGTCCCCGGCGGCAGCGGCGGCGGGGCCGGCTGGTGCCCCCGCCGGAACTCAGTTAGATCCTGCCGTACAGCGCCAGGGTCCGTTGACGCCGCCGCAGCTCCCGCCGCCGCCGCCGCCGCTGCTGCCGCCGCCGCTGCCGCCCATGCTTCGTCCTCCTCCTCCCCCACGCACAACGGCAAAGGCGCCACACGTCCGTAGTGTTTGTGTCGTAAGTACCTGCATTACATAATGAATTATTAGGTAATGCAGATATTTACGACCTAGGAGATCCTAGGAGATCAAATGTACGGCATGACTTTGGCGGGCTGCTGCGTGCACGTCCATGCATACTCACATCCATGCATAAAGTCCCCCGGAATTAACCCTTAAGGAAAAACAGATTATTTTTATATTCATGTAAATGTATATGAAATAATACATATATTATGTGTTTGTAACATGTATTATATACATTTACATGTGGTGTAGTATAAAATAATTATATACATGTATTACTCCAACACTCACCTCTTATAGCAAGCCTTACAAGTCCTCTCCTCAGGAAATTGCTTATGAGACATCCAACACTTGGTCTTGGTGGCACCGCACTCATAACACGACCGACCGCCGCCACCGCCGCCGCCGCTGACGGCTGACGGTACGCCGCCGCCGTCAGCGGCGGCGACGGAGCCGACCCCTGCCGTCAATGCCGTACCAGCGCCGCTCTGAAGCTCAATACCAGGGGCGGCGGCCGCAACCATGGCGATACCTCCGCCGCCGCCGCTATCGTACGGCACTAGGGCCGAGGCGTCGTCGGCCCCGCTAGCATCGGCAGTTGTATCGTCTGTGGCGTACTGTGCAACGCCAATATTCCCGGCACCGCCAACAATACCGCTACTGCCGCCGCCGCCGCCGCTACCCAAGTTGAGATGCGGGAGGAATGGTACGGCAGGTACGGCAATTTGGTGACGTCGAAGCACCTCCCGTACACGCCGTGAGGAGGCCTCGACCTGCGCGCGTCCCAGTTTCCGACCTTTCTTAGTTCGGAGCAACCGCTGCTGCGCCTGTTCCTCGTCGCCAGGGGGCTGCTCCGCCGCTCCCGCCGCCGTTGCCACCGCCGCCGCCGGCGCCAGCTCAGCATGCTTCTCTAACAGATCGGGGTGCTGCTCCCAGCCGCTACGGCTCACCGACGGTGGCTCCGCCGCCGCCAGCTCCGCCAGCGGCGCCAGCGGCGGCGGCGGCGGCCCAACGCTCCTAGCGCGTACATCAGTGTACAATGAGTGCCCTTCTGCGAAGTCTTGTAGTTCCCAAGGCTGTTGCTGTAGCTGTAGCTGTTGTTGATTACGTGGAGGTGGAGGTGGAAGATAATAATCCGCTTCGAAAGGGACGTCGTACCCAGCACGGCGATCCTGGCGACTTGCACCGGCAGCGTCTGCACCGCCGGTAAGGCTTTCTCCTGCCGCCGCCGCCGCCGCCGCCACTGGCGCCGCCGTCACCGCCGCCGCCGCCGCCACACTGGGCGGTACCTCCCCGTACGGCTCCCCGATAAGCCAGCCGAACAGCTCCTGCTCGCCGCCGCCGCCGACGTTGGTGGTCGTGATGCCGCCGTTGCCACCGATTGCACCGGCGGCGGCGGCGGCGGCGTCACGACCATCGTCGCCCATATCAAGCGCAGAGGAGCGACCGTTGCCATTGCCGACAGTGTCGAAGTTCAACTGCAGAGATTCATATCCCCCGTGCCCGTTGAAGGCCTCGAAGTCGCATTGCCCGCGGAGTTGATCGCAAAGGTCCGCGCCGCCACCGCCGCTGCTGACGGAGTACGACATACCCCGGTGGACACATTCCGCGGCGCCGTCCGCTACGGCGGCGCGAGTAGCTGCGCTGGCGCCGGCCACATTCGCCGCCGCTGCGCTGTCTGAAGTCCCTGCCGCCGTCACCGCCACAGCCGCCGCCGCCGCCGCCTCAGCATCCTCGGCTACGTTACACAGCGGCCCCAGGGTCTCCGTACGAACGGCCCAACCGAACCAACCCTCAGGTACGACAGGCTTGGGGCCCGCAATGGCGGCGGGATAGGCCGCTGGTGGCGGCGCGCCATTTGCTCCCCCGCTTCCGCCACCGCTACCGCCACCGCTTCCGCTACCGCTACCGCTGCCGCTGCCGCTACCGCGACCGTTACAGCTCCACAGAGCCGCATGACGGCCTAACGGCAAGGGGGGCATGTTCATGTCTGCAGAATCTATACTGTACGACATGTACGATGGTTTCATAAGCCCCAGCGGCGTCACAGGATTGACGGACTGGGCCGCGTCGTCCCCCGGAACTTTGGGGACGAGTGGCGGCGGCGGCGGTGGTAGGAGGCCGCCTCGGCGACCTTCGCTGCCGCCACCGCCGCCGCCACCGCCGCCGCCACCGCCGCCGCCACGCGACATGGCCATTGGAGGAGTTGTGATAAACTGAGGCGGCAGCGGCGGCACCAGCGGCGGCGGCGCTAGCGGCGGCGGCGGCGCCAGCAGTGCCAGCGGCGACGGCGGCGACTGAGGAATTCCTTGAAAAACCACCGTACTGATAAATCCGTTAGGGGCCCGTGCATTGATGCTACTGCCGACTAGTTTGTTGTTGCTGCTGCTGCCGTTACCGTTAACGCTGTTATTAGCGCTGTAGGCGTTACTGGCGTTACAAGTGTTGGGGTACCGGTGGTGCCGGTGGTTTGAATGTACGGAAGCGGATGATGAGGGCGGTAGAGGCGGCAGAAGCGCTCCTGTGGAACCCGCACGGGCAGAGGATGCCGCTGCTGCTGCGGTGGCGGTGGCGGTGGCGGCGACGGTGGCGGCGGCAGCGGTTGGCGGCTGCTGCTGCTTCTGGCGCTTGGCAGGTGGGAATTCTGGCGGAGGATAGTCGGCAGCAGGCGGAAGAGGCGGAAGAGGCGCCAGAAGCGCGATGGCGCTGGCTGCGATTGCCTCCTGCTCGGTTGCGTGCGCATCTGCGACAGCTGCCTCAGCCAGGAAATGCAGCGGGGACTCCGCGCGAATTGGACACAGCTCCGCGATGCTGGTGGCTGTCTTGCTGATATTCTTTACAGTAAATTGGTCCTGCTGTTGCGGATGCTGTTGGAGCGGCAATAAAACATGAAGCTGCTGTTGGTGTTGCTGGTTTTCACAGCTCTGAGGCTGCCGCTGTGGTCCTAACGGAGCGGAGATGCCGCGCGGCGGGAGTTTGGAGTGCGCCTTTGGACGCCTTTGCATCCTGCTCCTTCTTCCTACTTCGCGCTGAACGATTTTCGTGGCTTCTTTCCTATTTGGAAATATATAGGTCACACAGGCTCAGCGCCCTAAGAGAAAAGCTGCAAAAAGCGATAGGAGCTAAGCTGCCGCGCTTCATGAACCAAATTTCCAAGTGCACGCCTAAACGACGAGGAACTGAAAAAATCAGCCAACGCCTCCTTCGACAAACATGTTCAAATGCCCACGGCGTAGCAAAATTTACACCATCGGCCTTGCGCCTGTTACCAACGTTCCACCAAGTTCAGGAGGACTTCCAATGTTTGTACGACAACGTCGAACCTCGTGAGTCATTCGCTACAAGCAGGGGAACAAGAGGAACGGCCACAGAATTCGGCCGGGAGCACTTAAAAATTACTTGCAGACAAAGGCCCGCACCGTGAATGAGGAGAGCAGGTCAGAAAAGGAAAGCAGGCGCAAGGGCAGCCAGGGGCAGCCATCTACACAACAAAGGATTCAGAGCACGTCAGTGATATATCCGCTGGCATTTCTACTAGTTAATATAACCATCCAATAATATAAATACAGGATTTACATCCGTTGTTCTCTTGCGAGCATGTGGAGTGCTTATGTACATCCTCCCTCTCAGGGCGCGCGCGGCCACGCAAATGGACAAACCACTCGTGCATTAGGCATGGAAAAAACCGGCGTGGCAGCCAAGCCATGCCGCAAGGTTGCTACATCGTATATAGGACAATGCTCCCTCCCCTAGTTTCAGCAGCTGGCTGCACTAAATTCTTAGTTATGATGCTAAGCGGCGCGTCCCAGAACCATATGCAAACAGCAACCCAGCTGCATGCGTAGATATAGCATACCCAGCAGTAGAGCGCGAGATAGACCACCTCGCGCTGCTAGTTCCCTTGATCACATGCACGGCACGGAAGCACGCACCTAAAGCACGCACCAAACAATGGCATCATTATCCCCGATCAGAACCGATCTTCCAGAGGGGATAATGCCAGAGGACATATGCCCGCGATTAGGATGAGGCGATTCACGTAACGGATCCACAAAAAAAGCGCTGCCAAGGGCCTTCAGTTTGCTCCCTCGAGACGGACACCTAAAGGCCATACCATGAGCTTACCATGGAAAATAAGTTAGCACTTCTTACGTCCACCTGTCTTCAAGCACGACTGCACGGCTCACGCGCACAAGCATACCATAATAGCACGTCAATCTTCAGTTGGGCTGTCGGGCAGCCCAACACGCGCAGCCGAAAGAGACACTGCAACAACGAATAAGCACCTCCTGCCATCGTTTTTTTCCGCAAGCAAACACCGGCAGTTCCTCGCAAGCGATCGCAAGGGTCGTGAGGATTTCTCCTCACATCTTTCAAACAAACAATTACGCTCGTCACGTTCACGCTTTCTGCAATGCGCGCTGTATGCAAAAGCAGTTTCACATTATACGTCCCGCATAGAAACGCAATAACCACATCATATGCGTATCACAGCTATCACTACTACCTGCACACTTGCATCTCTTTGGCGCAGTCAACTCCCTCCCCCATGCCTGTCAAGCAGCTCGAACCTCAAAACGCGGGAGCCCACGCTAAAACATCCCCTCCCCTCTACCTTTTTTCAAACGACACCGGCCTTTGCACCGCCTTCGGCACGCTGCGATCCAGGTCGACCGACCACCAACTACCAACCACCAAAACCAATCCATTTACCAGAAATGCCGTGAACCCAACCGACCCAAATCGCACAGGCCCAGGCCGCGCCTCGCACCACCACCACCACCACCACCACGATCGCAGCTACAACACAGTACAGCAACACAACGATTTCGTTTCGTTGCCCCATTTCCTTCGCCATCCGTCTGCGCAAGTGTGTACGTCCCCTCCTCGTAACTATTCCGCATCACGCATGACACACACGAAAAATATACAAACCGAGAGAGTTTTCAAAACGCCAAAGCACACTTTGTATCATGACCTGGCGGTTGTGCGTTGCTACGATGCGTTGCTAAGCATTGCGGATGAATGACTGATTGCATTCGGGTCTCCTCGGAATTCTGCTGCTGCTGCTGCTGCTGTCCCGCCGGGAATTCAAGTCAAAATCCGCCGCGCCAGTGGTCTGGCTGGCCGCGCCTGTCAAAAGCGCTGCCCCCGCGAACCTGCCGCACCCGCCGCCTCTGGCCCCACCACGGCTACCGAGCTACTCGCGCCTTAAAGCTGGTTATCACTCCTCGGCAGTAGGGGCACAGCGCGGGAGTGAGGCTGTTTCGCTTCACCAGATCCCGGGCGCACTCCAAACAGATCTGATGGCGACACGTCTGGACCAGCAGGTTGGGCCCCTCATCCAAGCACACAGGGCAAACATCCTCCTCCTCCTCGGCGGCGCCGCCTCCAACGGGACCTCCCGCTGCACCGCCGCCGCCGCTGCTGGCGGCCACATCCTCCAGGGAGGTCGTGGAGGAAAACGAGGAGGTGGACAGCAAAGTGGGCGGTTCGGCGGCGGCAGCGGCGCAGAGTGGCGTCGTCGCCGGCTCCGCGGTCGCCACCGCCGCCGCCGCCGTCGCCTGCGCTTCCGTCGCACCGCTCTGCTGTTGCTGGCCCCCGCTGCCGCCACCTGCAGCAGGAGGCGGCGGCGGCGCTGCCGGCAACGGTGCAGGGGAACGGCGAAAGAGCAACCGCCGTCTCGTACCGCCGCCGCCGCCGCCGCCGCCAGGTCCACCGTTGCCACTCGGCCCGGCGTTACTCGATCCCACTGCGGCGGTGCCCTCAGATTGCCCTCCGCCGCTGAGACGGCCGTACAGGGGAAAGAGACGCGCATGGGGTCGCCCACTGCCCACCCGCACCCCACCCCTACTCAGCGCCGCCGCCGCCACGTTAACAGCAGATTGGTGATGATGTTGCTGCGGGAAGGCCACACCGCGATGGTGTGAGCTATTGGGAGACCTGGCGGCCGCCGCCGCCTCCGCTGTAACAGGGGGTCTGCTTCCGCCACCGCCACCACCGCCGGCGACCTCCGCGGCATTTCCAAGTCCCGTCGCGGCGGCGCCGCGGCTGACGGAGGAATCTGGCGTGCGGTTGCTAAGGCGGCGGCGCCGCCGCCCCCGATTGGGGCCGTTGGCTCGAGGGCCTTGCGCCTGGGGCACAACCTGCAGATGGTCCAGAAGGGAGGGTGTGCGCACTCGTAACCACGTAACCAACTCCTGCAACCAACCAACCAACTAACCACAACGCGGGCCTGAGGACGGCAAACGAACGGCGTACTAGGATCTGCTGCTGCCGTGCAATCTAGCCGCCATTACGGTAAACGGGAACACATGTGTGCGTACGGACCCGTACCTGGCCGCTCGTACGCCGCAGGGTGTTCTTCAGGCTGTTCAGCAGCTCCCGGGCCCCCGCACCCACTCGGCCCATGCCCCAGCTGGACTCCGGGACGTTGGAGACCTGTCGGGGGGTTAGGGGGTGTGTGACGAATGTTAGTTGTGTGATGATGGTGATGGTGATGGTGATGATGATGATGGCGGTGATGGTGATGTTGATGGCGGTGATGGTGATGTTGATGGCGGTGATGATGATGTTGATGGCGGTGATGATGGTGATGATGTTGATGGCGGTGATGATGGTGATGATGATGATGATGATGGTGATGATGATGATGATGGTGATGATGATGATGATGGTGATGATGATGATGATGATGATGGTGATGATGATGATGATGATGATGATGATGATGATGATGGTGATGGTGATGATGATGGTGATGGTGATGATGATGATGATGATGATGATGATGATGATGATGATGATGATGATGATGATGATGATGATGATGATGATGGTGATGATGATGATGGCGATGATGATGATGATGATGGCGGTGATGATGGTGATGATGATGATGGTGATGATGATGGTGATGGTGATGATGGTGATGGTGATGATGATGATGGTGGTGATGATGGTGCTGGTGATGATGGTGATGGTGGTGATGATGATGGTGATGGTGATGATGGTGCTGGTGATGATGGTGATGGTGGTGATGATGGTGATGGTGATGATGGTGATGGTGATGATGGTGATGGCGGTGATGATGGCGGTGATGGTGATGATGATGATGATGATGGTGGTGATGATGGCGGTGATGATGATGATGATGATGATGGTGATGATGATGATGATGATGATGATGATGATGATGATGGTGATGGTG